ATTAATGAGGGATAAACTAGGGTTTTCGTAGGGAACAGCAGTGATGTGACTATAAATAAAGGCGGCAAAATTAGAGAAAGCAGCAGGTGCCGGCCACTGGATGAGACTCTGTTCAAAGAAGAGGTTGCATTTTATGGCAGGGGTGGCAAACAGAATGGGACTACACATTTTTTACGTAAAAGGAATAACCAATTATTGCATGGTGCAGTGAACTGCTGGAATTGCTTAGATGAACCTCTCGCGGGACTGTTCAACGATGCGCAACCTCCTGCCGAATTATTGGCGCCTAACGATCAGTCTTGTCACTGACAATGCCAATCCCGGATAGGAAACTTCAAGAGTTGAAAAATATGCGAAGTCTCTCGTAAAACGCAGTTATCTGCCCTTCATGATATTGACGATATTTGCAGTGCATGCCAGCCGAAGGATTTGTTTGTACTTTATTTCTGGTTCCTTCTTTGACAAACTGTGAGAGTATTCTGAAGACAAAACGTGACAGAAAGGGCGGATAGATAAATGCCACGAAATAAATGATTTTCCAAAGCTCTATCGGTCAGTAATGATTTCATATGACTATAGGGCCACCTTTTCGAACTATCATTAGGTAGTGGCTGTTTCCAACGACACTTAAACTATTTCTTGCAGTTAAGTTGGCTGCATCCACGGTTTTGATGTCTTTTGTTTGGCATCTTCCTAGGGGTAACTGTACTGTCTGATTCTGATCCCCTTTTTAACACAGCTTATTTTGTATTTCTTCACTTGTTATATCAATGTTTTGGCAAATTATCGTGTGGCTTACAGAATCAGTCAAGTAACGGACTCTTTGAAGGTACTTCCTCATATCACTTTTACAAATGAACATTCCTTGCGCATCCCCTAAAAGTAACGAAATCTGAATATATATTCATCACTGATGAAGATGAGTAGCCAGTGGGCACGATTCACTGTATGCAGAACCCCCAATCTGGGTAGTGAAACCTTTTCACCTTCATTCACCAGGTTTTCAATGGGGTACAGAAATCGGGAGTTATACCTGAGGACGAGAAGACGGGAGTGATCATTCAAATCTTAAAGCTAACAACATCTATTGAAAGCTGATCTCCTTTTGACAATAAGTATGACGTTTGTGGAAACGGTTAGTACTTAAAGTATCCTGATGCTGTTTTCTGGAAGTCGAATATCATTAATGTGGCAAATGGTGGCTGCTAAGCTGCCACAACGATAATAAAAAACAACAAGAATACTGGGTCGAAATTACTAGATTAAAAAATGCGGTTTGAAAAGACAGAGGAGCGTGTTGTATTCACGTCGTTCGCTTAGGCGATGCGGTAATCAGCAGGGAACCGACGTCTAACCTCAATGTGGCTTTGGCATTAATGGCTTTGTTTCTTCTACAGATCGGGCTGTTCTGCTTGGATTTGGGACTGTCATTATCCAGTGTGACTTTTGCTCTGAGAATCGAAATTGTCGAGCCCGAAACAATCTCCACTCTGGTGATTTGAGTGTTGCCCTTTCATGTCTGATTAATTGTTACATCTAATCTCCCTTACTGGACGTTGTTACCCTATGTATAATTCGTAACCGCGTTAGATTGACTGCAGCTGTGCTCAACGTTGTTTTGTTTTGCTCATGTTCTAAAGTGCTACAGAATATGAAGAATCTGTTCAAGATTTTCTTTAGTCATCTTAGAAATTGTTTTTCATCCTCACTCGAACTGGGCGTCTATCTGCACTGCTGGTTTTTCCAGAAGATGCTAATTCGATTGGCAAATAAATCTTTGACTTTGTAGTGGTCAGTAAAGTTTAACGTTTCTACGTTTACCTCTGAAATAATGGTCGAAGATATCATTTAGAGGGATGTTTTGAGCAGAGAGATTGATAGAAGATTGATTTTCATTGGTCCTTATCTTCGTATCACTTGTATTTTTATAATTTGCTTAGTATTGTAGTATATTTCTTTCATTTAATGCTGCACAACTTCGTTTCTTCCGCATTACCGTTACCTTCTGCAGGATGTTTAATAGTTTCATTGCCTTTCTTATTAACAGTGTCATTGGTGTGTTTCTTGCATTCTGCGTTCCACTGTTGTGAAATAAAAGCCATAGAACTCATGGCAAATTCGAAAAATTAATAATGGATATTTCGACTACAGTGTCCGACATTGACGGTATTGACGGACGATTGAACTGCATACAGCGGCGTTTGTTTCCGTCTGTGGTGAAGGATCAATGGCAGGACTGCGTATGGAATGGCATTGTTCTCATCAGGACTTAATTAACGCCAGTAAACGGAGAGATCGCGAAAACGATGTGGGCCGTGACAAACTGGATGAGCATAACTGTCAGATTCTCGTGTGCGAGCCAGAATATAGACAGTTTTGATCAGGAAGTCAGCAGACAATATGGACGAACAAAATGGAACCACATACTTTGAGCAATATTTCCTTTTGCGATGTTTTAGGTGGTGCCCTATAGTAAAAATGTTGAAAAACCGGCATAATGCGTCATGACTAACCAAAGCCGTTTGCCTATGCAGCCCTCTCAAGGTATTGATGTGAGCAAATTAAAACTACAGTTTCCTTATCAGAGATACCAGTAAGGTACGAACGAAGTCTTCGTCCATCCATTTATTAATTGAGCCTCCATTTTCCGTATTTTTCTAATCATTTCAGAACATTGGTTCACTCTCAGCAGTCTTAACTTTACCACATTAAGAGGACTTGCTTTTGGCACCTGATCATAGCTAACTGTGAGACTGAATCTGTAAAACTGCACTTTTTGATATGTCAAATGCCGTAATGGTATCGATTAGAGCATTGTAGATTCCATTTTTCTGTGTGCCATAATTTAATAGCTTGTGGTGATGATTATATCGCAGTTTCTTTTGTTTGGTTTAACGACAAACAAGAAACCGTTCCAACTTTAACGAAAACCTTCAGTTAAAGAGTCGGCCTGAGCTTCTGTCTTAATGCCTTTCTGACTCTTGAGCAGATTGTAACGCAACTTTAGGAAAGAGTCGGCTATGCGTTCACGGCTACAACTGCGGCATAGCGTAGTTTGGAAAGGGCATCAACGGAAGTACAAAAGTTCCAACGGAGAATTTAGTCGCATCCAAAGCAGATGCGAAACTTACTAAACATTTAATCTAAATCTTAATCATGGGCCTTCGGTACAGAGTAACTTATTTACAAATTGTAACGTTCGTTGTTCCCGCTTTTAAGCGAATAATTACTTGTCGTGTTTGGGGTAATAATTTAATTTCCTTCTGGTTCATTTCCTCTATGCGAATGCTGTTCTGTTTTTAGATTGTTCTTTGCAGTGTTTATTTTTTTCCTGAACCCATTAATATTATTGTAAAATATCCTTCTGTTGTTTTGCCTTCATCAATAAGAACATGGGTTGAAATTAATACAATGGTTGTTACTGGGAATATTAATAATCATAGAAGATGAAATGCAAGAAATATTCACTGATATACGGTTGGTATTCTGTTACTTGTTGCTTTATTTATCACTATTGTTTATGTTAGTTTTACCTGCATGACTGTTTAGAAGTTAAGGAACGCTCAAGATCTGTTTCTGGTTTTCTGTGTTCACAGCGATCATGTACCATTGTTGGAAGTTTACAGAGACTCAGAGGTATGCATAGTTTGTTGATTTTCCATAAGAGAAGTTGTGAAAGTTTTGATATGTTATTTTTTTTTAAATAAGCTCTATGTTATTGTTTTGCATAATTTAACTTGTCTTTCTTTATTGTTATTGATTTTGCTGTCTTTTCGTGAATAGGAAGTTGGAACGCATCAGCCGTACAAAGTGTTTGATCTTCTGCAGTGCAGCTATGTAATTGGCGTTGTGGCGAATGATTGTGCGTTTTCGATCGGATTTGAACATGAAGATAGGGATGCTTTGCAGCTGGTGGTATTGTCCCCGTAAGCTACGTTGCAAATTTGTGATTTTTTATCTGTGGCTTGCGTTCAGCTGTGGTTTTTTTTTGAGGGAAGAGAAGAATTCGTGGTTGGAAAGATTGCAGTGCAAACTTTTGGCCATGCACTGTCTTCAGGTACTGTAGTTATTATCAGTCCGGCTGTGTAATGAGAGTCTCACACGGGTTATATAAAAAAAATGTTTAGTTTTATTGTTTGGTTAGGATGCATCGCTTGATATGATGTAAGTGCATTGTGTGCTACCATGAATTTGCGTGTGTTGTATGAGTCCGTCGCAATGGAGATTTGAGTACAGCTACTCCGTCTAACATGTACTCTCGTAATATTTGAGTATCGTTCAAGTCCAGCTAGATTCCACAAGTAAATGCCTTAATCAGTTTCTCTGTTTTATCCGATATAACGGTTTTATCCGTTTATCATTGTGATGCTTCCTCTCCTTACGTTGCAGTGTGGATCAGAGTTTTATTGTAACATGAAGTTCACAGCTGAATTTATTACACAATTATTGAAGTTTTCTGTAGTGATAGAAGGGTGTCTCAGTGTGCAGGGCCGCGAACAAACCATTCTCGGCTTTCTACCGAAATGCCATTGTCTTAAAGTGTCCTTCCCGTTGACGAATATTTCTTTAGAATGGATGTAAACCTCGGCTAGCTGTGATTAACATCATCTGATAAATGTACTCTTCTGAATGGTTCCAACAGCGGTTACAGTTTATTCGAAATGATTTAATTGTCTGCAGTATTATACTACAGTACAGTATTTGAAACTCTATTCCTATTTAAACTCTGAGACTGCAAATTAAGAAATGCCGTGAGACAGAAGTTGCAGTTGTACATGGTCAGTAGTAATTCCAAGTTTTATTACTGAATGAAAAGGGGTGCCGGTATTGTCATATATTTAATTAATGTTGTACCGTTATGCGTTTGTGATAACACAGATGACAATTTGTTTTAAAAGTATCAGCGGGACCAAAACAACACATAAAACATGGTGTTACCCGATACTCCTCATGAATGGTGATATCACTGGTGATTTTTCGCGGAGAGGGTGTCTCTGAAGTCATCACCAATTTGAAGGTGGTGGTGCATTTTGTCAGCTCACCTGCTGCAGCGCCAATTTGCAACTACCTCCACCTGAAGAGTTCTATGATACATACGATAGACTCGTGTTCTTTCATTTTGTTTCGATAGACATTTTTGCTGTTTTCCATGATTAATTGCAGTTTTTCCAAACGACGGTTTTCAGAGTGGCAGCAACGTATATTCTTCATGTCCTGTGAGCAGTCCTACTAAAAGGTCGCATACTTTGAAAAGTCGTGTTTCTCCTTCCCTTTCTTCCTGCCAAGAATCTTGTTCATCGTCGTCTCGAAGGAGGTCATTTTCTGAAGCCGAGAGTGCTATGCTCCTTGACGAAGAGAAAGTTTCGCCTGTCGTGAGCGTAGCTTCTTCTTCCGCAGCCTCAGAAATATATCAACGTTATCAGTGCCTGTCGTCGCAGCCGTCGCTTGAACATAGTGATTCTTCGTCGATTTCTACAAAAGACGCTGGTGTCGCGAAGGAGGAAACCGCCTTGTCGGAAAAGACGACGAAGCCTCCCCTTCCACCTCGTGAAAGCCCCTCTTCTCCCAATTGTCGAATGGGTTCTATTGAGAAGACGTCTGCTGGCCATCTTCAGCTCACGACGGAAGTTGATAACGAGGTGTTCGTATCCGGCTACGACGTGCCTTCGGCGGCGTTAAACCCGAAGTAAGTGTAATCACCTTTAGATAAATACGTTTCCCTTTTTGTCCTTAAATCTTATGCACATTGCAGTTAGGATATGCTTTTATGTTCAGCTAAGGAACGAATTTCCGCGATTTATATTTTAGTTTGATGTTAATATAAATACATGTTTGTAGTACATATATTTCAGTTTATGTTTAAATTTAATCCAACGGTTTATACCTTATGTTAATGCTTATTCATGTCTCATGTTCATTAAGCGGAATAGCTCCCGTAACGGGCATCGAGCAGATATCATGGTCATCTGTCTCGCGGGCTCTGGCGTAATCACATTGTAACAAGACGCGCTTCCAGCTTTCTGCAGTTCAGCCCATTCATGTTTATGTTATTTGCACAGTGGGATGAATTCCTTGCTAGTGTGAACTGACAGTTGATTAGAAAAATTTTACGCTATACCTGCGATTTTAAGCCGGCTGTTTTAAAATGCAACGGGAACTTTTTTTTAATGCAGCTTTGTCCTCCGTCCCCGTTTATGTTGAATGAATTATTAACGGGATTTTGCTGTTCTCCTGTTCCACAGATTGTTGGCCTGCTTGCAGTTAATAGTTGCTTTTTTCCTGGAAACAGTTTGGATCTACTAGTTTCGTAGTTAAATGATGCTGTAGTTATTATCCCTGAGCCATCGGTCGAAAGGCTTCTTGACAATGGAGAAAAACGACTACCAGTGTTGCATTGCTTCGTCCGTATGCTATGTTACAGTTCAAGCCAAGTTTATTCTATATTGAGTATTATAACATTTTATGAGCTTGGTGTTGATTGTTTCATGTCTGTTCAGGTGTCTTCTTTTCATATTTTATTTTAGACATAGTCGGAATGCGCTGTCCGTCTCTTCGACCGTGTACGAAAATGCTTGGGATTCGATTGTCGACCGTTTACACATTTCTCCAATTCCCACAGCGCTTCTCTCTCTCCACGGATCGGCGGAGCACCCAGGATCGGCTCTTGGCGCTTTCGGGTACAAGGAGTTTTTCGATAAACCACCGTTTCAGGCTTCTGCCAGTTGTTCAAGATCTGCGTCTGTCAGCACGACGTTGACGAAGGGGCTGACCAATGACAACTCTGGCTCGATCAGCGAACCATTGAATACAACCATTGCCAAAACTGAAACGGAAGCGACCCTTCAGAACGACGCCTCTTCCTCTTTCACTTCAAACGAGGCGCCAGTATCACTGACCGACGACTCGGTTTTTGATAACTACGATTCTTTGGTTGAAAACGTAAATTTTTTGCATCGTTTCGGTAATAATGGTACAGGTTGGAATAAATGCATTTAAAAATGTTGAGTTTTATTTGAGTCTGATATACGCTGTTTGCCTCACAGATACTGTAGTAGGCATAGAATACAGAACGGGCATTATTGTAACTTTTTCAATGACCTGCATGTCTTAAATAGTTTAATAAATCTGCGGTCAGGTGCTTAAACTGTTTGAACTGCTTAAATTTGTTTTCTCGTGAAACCAATTATTTTCTTGGATTTGATTCTTTGTGGACTAATAATGTTAATAATTTAATTATTTGTAATATTAATGGAATAAATTCTAGATTGTTTCAACATATGATGAGGATGCCTCATGAGTAACGCGCACAGCCCGAATGAAAGCTGTTTAGTAGCTCAGTGCGAACGGACTGGCTTAATGATGTATGTGATCTGACAGTGTCGCACTTTGGAATCCAAGGCACAGACTTAGTCCGTTTTGCTTCGTACGGAAGACAGTTGAAGATGTCTTCTGAAGTAATTACCTCACTCTCAAAGGAATGGCAGACAGTTAGCATGAACGAATGAATAAATTATGAGCAGTGGATGTGCGTCATAAACACGTAATGAAAGTATGGTTGCCTAAAAGAATTTTTACTTTTCAGAATACTTTCTACTTCTCTGTTAAGCTCTTTCTGTTCTCATACATTGTGAAATCTCGCCGTATCTCTGCCCTAAAATGTGGGATGTTGGCAGATAACGCAGAAAATTCTCGATTATAAACTCTCAAGCGCTATGGCAATTAAACGCATTTTCTTGGTGTCAGTCAGTTCAGATCAATGCATTGTTCATAATTATGCTCAGGCTCGTATTTGTGAGTCGCTTGACATGGTTTTTTGTTAATTGTTAGTCCATTTGTTTCTCCGTTTCTTTGCTGTATGACAACATTGCTTGATGTTCAGGTATCCCGCGAAAGTTATAAAACTGTGCGTATGGATCCGACAAAGCCTCCACCGCTTCCTCCGAGAAACTTCAACCGCAAGCTGACACCAAAAGAGCGAGACGTCATCGATTTAATGAATGAAATCTCTGAAAAGACGTCTATTCGCATCTTGCTCTCTCCGGGTTCTTTGACGAGAGTTGCATTCGTTGAAATTCTCGGTTTTCTGTGGTAAGTTGTTTTTTAAATCAGCAAAACTTTTCATATAGATGTGTTAGCGGGTTAGTTACATCTTTTTCCTTCAAGTGTCTCGTATACTTAAATCTATTTTACTTTTATTCTGAATAGTCTCAGTAATTTGATTTCGAGAATTCTGGATCGAATACACTGGTTGGTTTAGGCGCTCCTTCTTTACAGCTACCGCCCATTAATTCAGTGCCTGTGTCACTTCATCAGGATGTACAGACTAACCAAAGGAACTATTATCAGACATCATGAATCTAGATTAATCTCTTTTTTCGCTCTGTTAGGTTTTGATGACTATGACAAAACTATACTGAAAAACTTTTCTTCACATATCTGCAGGATTTGCGATTCTGCACAATGTATTAGCTTGATTAGCGTTTCTCGGAATTCAGTCCGAGGACCTCGCCTGATGAACTATGCAAAGATGTAGCGAGTTCTGAGATGTCTTGTCTGTAACGATAGAAGC